AGAAAATCATAACATTATCTGAATATATATGTGATCATAAAAAGCTTACCTCCCATTGAGTCTCCCATGGATCCGGGAACTGAAAAAATAGAAGAAAAAAAGTCATTGTTAAGAGACGATTAATATAAATATACTCTAGTGTGACATATAAAACTATCCTATAAAACTTATTTGGAATTTTAGTCATTCTTGGTAACATTCATTATTTCCAGGTTATGTCTAGGTTAAAGGGGTGGCAAAAAGAAGGGGGCTGCCATATCATTAACGGGAAAAGGGGAGTAGTTAAACATATACAAGATATAAGGGCTGTCACTTGAATTTTTTACGAGCACACAGAAATGTGGGGGTCTTAGAATTTTTTATCTTTGAAAAGAGTGGAGCATGATATAACACTGAAAATTTTTTCATAAAATTAATCATTATTCTTGGAAGCCTCCCCAAGACATAAATAATGAATGCTTCCTTAAAATAATTTTTTTCAATTTCTTGGTTTGCGTGCAAAGCATTATGGGCCATTTGTGACGTCATTCCAACTCCAATTGAAATCATTTGAATGCATAATGGCTGTGGTCTGTTTTCTTAAAGAATGATAAAGATAGGTTGGCAACAAAGCTGGAAACAAAGCTCTTTGTCTGTCCAATTGAAAATTTTGAAATTATTTGCGATGTGTCTGACGTAAAAAGATATAGACCACTGATAAAAAAAATATCTTAGTATGTTAGTTTAAAAATAATTCTTAAAATAATTTWAAAAAATGCTATCTTAACCTCCTTCGAATCCGAAATCGCCAGATTTTTTGCTGGATGTGCTTGCACTGTTGCCATGGGAACCTGTTTGTATATCAGCCAATCAGAAAGCATTAAAATCTTGGAGTGTCGTTTGTCTCGTTTTACGGTCGGCATCTTGTTTTAGCCTGGCATTTTAACGTTTGTTAGACTGGAATGTTCTTGTTCATTTAAATTCAGATTTTAAGTTCGTTTTTTTTGTTTGATATTTTTTTAGTTGTCTCGTTTGTTTCAGTATTTGTATCAGTTTAGCACAGACATGTTCAGTTTTTAAAAGCAAAGTTTGTTTGTCTAAGTTCAGCTTGTTAAAAGACACCTTGGTCGTGATTAAAAAGTACAAAATTCCCAAGTTGAATCTGCCGGTTAAGGCGGTCACGTGTCAATTAGTCAGCGGCATTATTATAACAACAGCATGCAAATGATTTGGAGTTGGAATGGCGAGTTTTACTGCGATTTGAAGGTTTATTTAAATTTATTAAGTGATTTTTTCAATGGCAATGATTACCTATATGGAATAATATGCAATGGTTATCTATTGAGCTAAGTCAAGTTATCATGTTCTGATATTTTTTATTTATTTTTGTCGATTTACTGTCATTTTTTGTTTCACCATCATCATGATCATCTCATTATCTAACGCCATCATCATCTAACATCACCATCATCATAATCATCATCATCATCATCACCATTATCATCATCATCATCATTATCTAACGCCATCATCATCTAACATCACCATCATCTAACATCACCATCACCTAACATCACCATCATCTAACATCAACATCATCTAACATCACCATCATCTAACATCACCATCATCTAACATCAACATCATCTAACATCACCATCATCTAACATCAACATCATCTAACATCATCATCATCTAACATCA